GCTGCCCAGGCTTCAATCGATTCTCGGCCAATTTTGTTTTCGGCGTGGGCGATTACCTTGGTGCCCGCGAGGTTGAACTCATGACCCATTTCGAAGGTGTTGGCAGCCACTTGTGATAGTTCGTTGCCTCGTCTCACGTGAATGCGTCGTCGTAGACAGAGCCTTTCACCCCATGCCAGGCATTGTACTCAACCTCGTCATCTCATCACTGGTGCGTTGGAGAGCAAAAGTCCTGAGGTACGGGGTCAGGTGGCGACGCAAATATGCTAAGAATATACCATCACAGCCTTTACCGGCAAAAATTCCCCGATGGAGTCTATTTCGGGTGACCACGCATGAAAAGCCCCAAACTTTCCACTCCTTCGTTTGGGGCGGTTTAGCTCATCGCAGAGCGAACCGGAATGCCTCAGTAATGACGTTGGTATAGTGGCTGCTGAGTGGCGGGCGCCCGGAGAAATGGCGTTGTGGCCGACAGACAACTACTGCGACAACATCCTCTCTCTTTGTTCAGCGCTTGTGTGCCTCGGCTTCAAGGTCACTTGCCTCTATTCTGGACGCCCCTGTGACAAGGCCACTGCGTCGCATGCTAGACTCGTTGTCCAGACAACGTCCGGGCTCACGTGACTCGGCGTGTGTACATCTAAGCAATTCTCGCGCCACTATGGCGACGACAGAACACAATTGCAGACTGGGTGACGTTTCTCATTGAGACAGTGAAATTTTGAAGTGTACTTTCGGTTAGAGAGGATTGTAATATTGCATGTCATGTCGCAGGGTATCCGAATCACGGTAGAATGCGCATCCTCCCGGTTAGCTGACAAAAATGACTACTTAAGTGGTATGATTTTTCCCATGGATTTTCGATGCCTTCACAAGTCCGAACACATTTTACAGAAAACATGCACAAAACGCCATCCTTGGACTTGTTTTGTTGCAAATTACGCCTTCTCCAAACTGTCTACCTGAAGGAGGGGTATATTTCAGTTTCAAAAAGGGTGTAGTTTCATTGTGGTAGCATCGTCTGTGTCTGTTTATTAATGCACCTTTTGAAGTACACAATACCGACCTAGTCTGCCGATCCCACTTTCTCCTCTGTTTATTTCTTCTGACGACGGGTTGGTGTCACCGACTTGAAAATTTACGAGTAGAACTCGATTCTCCAAACAGCCTTCTCTTTTTCATATTGCAGAATGCTGTGAGCGCTCTATGACGCCTTAAAAGCATAGAGCAGTGTATGATAGCTGTCAAGTTGAAAGTGTACACCTTGTAGCTTGGAGACCCTAACACACAAATGCAACGGTACGTAGAGCTTAAAATCCCTGGGGAGTTGAGAAACCTCTTTATAACCGGAAGATAGGCTTTCTCGAGGATAAAATTTGACGAGGAGGCCTGTTACTACAAAGTGAGTCCAAGGAAGAACATGTTACGGCGTGTTTTCCGTAGAATATATGCTAAGGTTTATGAGGGCATCGAGTATCAATGGAAGAGTGCTTGGAGGGCTACCGACAGCGGGCCAACTTCTTCCCTGGACTGAGGGCCAGACTGCAATGGCTGAGATTGGAGTTACTGAGGGCTGGTTCGTGTGGATCGAGTGCTCAGTACGTTTGGCACGCGTGGGCGGCGGCGGCGGCAAATTCCTGCCCAGACACTGCAATCATGCTCCCCTACAGTCGACTTGATATTGCAACACAATAGACTCTGGAAGACGAGGCTGGGGTAGATGTTGCGAAAGTCTCCGTCCCCATAATCCGAATCCCGTCGCCTCTTTTAAGAACCCTCTTCCTCGCGTATGACAGGCGAACTCCTCTCTCTCTCTCTCGCTCTCTCTGTGGGCTGGGCGAAAAATGACATATTGATCAAATCTTACAAGTGGCATCAGCATGCATAATCCAGTGGTGCCTTTTCGTTTACGCTCTCCGATCAGCTTATCATTTGTGGGCGTGTTCACAGTATTATTGTCTCCTATGCCATGACCCGGGAGCATTGCTCCTCAGAATTAATTCTAGTTTAGGGCAACCATTTGAAAATTCCAGAGTATTACTCGATTTATCTCCGAGTTCGCAACACGATCGGTGAGCACTCCTCTATCATTGTATATACCTGATCGCAATCGACAGGTCAACAAGCCGGTATCTCAGTGATTAGGAGAGCTGGACAGGTCGCGGGATCGAGTCTCAGGGGTATTACACCTCGTATGACTGACTGACGACGGCCCAAGAAAGTATCCTGCGGTTGACGGTTTTCTTCAACAATACGCGTTAATCGTATCTCGTCATCTCTCCTGGACTGGCTGTGCTCGTTCGATTTTGCGTGCCATCCAAATCGGCTTGCCAGTTGATGCATGCCTCCAGGACTTCTCGGCCTCCTTTCTGGTCATCTACCATAAATAATATTCCTAATCACAACACTAGGCAGTGGGCTCGCGGCTCAATGGTGGTGTCGCATTTAACGACTAAAGATTCCGTGCTCGGATCTCAGTTGATCCAGCCAGAGGTAAGTTACGATTGGCCGACGGAGACTAATAAGCCAGAGATGGCCATTCCGGTTTCCCTTGTCTTTGTCGATACCACCCTATCTAGCTATACCAATAGCCGCCTGCGAGGATTGTAGTTTGAACCTCAAGCCCCAACGAGATTATCACTTTCCGCAACCGGATCGGTGAGCGTCCCTCTACCGTCATCTATTCTGAGTCCCTTCTTTATTTTTGTCTCTTTTTAGTCGACACGGCCGGCTATAGAGGCGCTGCCATCACCCGTACCGGACCGAACATTAAGATCCCTCTGCTGTGATATCCTACGGGTCGCTGTTACCTACTAAACACCTGCCACCCCGACTTTACAATTGTATTTTTATACTTGACCGCTGCACCCTTTCCCTTAGCAATATTTTACCAGCACATCACGCTTTTTACTCTCTTCCCTCTCCGTGTCTCTTGAACACAAGCTTCACTCAGTTCCCAATCCGGTCGCGGTAACTGTAACCCATCACTACATTTTTGTTTTCTTTTTCGAGTGTATCCCGCTTTTCTATCAAGAAACACGTAAACATCGACTATTCAGTCATTCAACGCAAGTCAACCAGCTACATAATGACGAAACCCTGTAATTCCAATATTCAATAATAATTTGCCAAAAGCCTGTACGTTTTCAAGTCAGCGCTATGGCCGCATACATCATCCAGGTCCAGTAACATCGAGCGGAGCAGCTCTCCGACAAATGACAACATGATGCAGAAGGCGACTACGCCGGGCCCCCACATTCTAATCGTCTCCTTTGCGGTCAGCAGTACCATTAAGACGACCCGGACACCTTTGCGACATGGGTACAGGAGGGGAATGCATGCAACAGCAACAACCGTTGATAGAAACGAACAAGCGAGTCCCAGGTTCAGAGGACGAAGATGCGATCACTGAAACAAGAAATTTATTGGCCTTACGTTTGGGATTCTCGCTATAACCCATCACCATAGACAGTCGCAGATAAGGGTAATGTTGGCACAAGGATTGCAGTATTTATAGCACGTGGCTGCCGTGGGACCATATGCACACTGTAATTAACAGCTCTCGCAATCACCGCTGGGGTTGTAATTGATGCGATGGTGGCTTGTTAGTCCTCGTCCGAGTCGTTAGTGGCCGTGATTTCGTCACCCGTGTTGAATGCTGGTGCGACGATTGTTGGCAAATTGGCTCACTGTCACTGGGATACTTGCTCGCCCGCGCCCTTCCAACGTGACTGATTCCCCTGCTCAGGGAAAATCTCATCACGGAAAACGGTAACCGGTCATTGTGCTTGTTGATGGATTACGGGCCTGAGAACCATGACTCGAGCGGTTCGCGGCTCACGCGGTTGTCATCCCTTGCGAGGATTTCGGCCTCTTGAAATTTGAAAATATGGTCGGGTCCCGTCGAATGGGCTGCCGCCTGATAGCTAGCGTCTTCCCGCCTCACTGCTGTTGCGTGCTCGGCGATTCGCATGCGGAGTAATCTCCCAGTTTCTCCGACGTAGTTGCTTTGTCCGCAACTGCACCAGATCCAGTAAACGACTCCTGACGTTCACTGACTGATGGTTGCTTCCGGCCTGTGTGCAACCCCAACTCCAAGTGGAGTGAGAAGACGACTGACGGCTTCCGAGACGTTCTTCACGCATGGAATAGCCCGCCAAAATTTGGAGCCGGTTGGATTTGGTCTCTTGTGTCGCTTTCGTATGCACTGGTAGTTGTGCGGGTAGCCATTGGCACTCAGTACCCGTCAAAGATATTGTAATTCAGCAACCTTGTCTTCAATTCAACTGCGGTGCGTCTCAACGCGCCGGTATAGCGCCCTTACGCCACTGCGCTTGTGACTGATCCGGTGATTGCTGTTGAAGTTCAGTATATACGTCGTATCTGTTGCTTTCCTGAGCAGTTTAGTTTTTAGGCCACCACAATCTTTGCGGTAGACGAGGACATCCAGTAAGTCCAGCTGGTTGTATTTGTGGCGGACAAGGATGTGAGATCAACTTAAACCACGCACAATAAGTTCGTTTTGTCTACTGTCAGATGTCAGGGAGCTGTGAGGACTAGTTTATTCTGTACACAGGGCAGGTTGCCGTAAGTTGGCGGTTTGCTTGCAACAGTGAAAAGCGTCCGTTCACGGAGAGCGTCAGTCGCGGTGTGTAGTTTTTGCGGGAGTGAAAGTCTGTGTCAGTAGGTGGGAGTGACGGGTTGGATGCTGATCATGAGATTGGACGGATTAGGGGGAAGCATAATTACAGGGGCTCACGGGTATCAAGCCAGGTCGTCCGACGCGCATGAGGTGATAATAGTTTGTGGGGGCAGCCGGGGGTCACTGCAGCTGGACAGGAGGGGGGTCCAGTTATAATCGGCGAGGGTGGTTGTGTGTCAGCGGCCTGACAGCGATTGTCGCGGCCATCGACCGACAAAACGGAGCCGGAGAAAAGGAGAACTGGAGCGGCTGCTACAACTCCCCCCCAGACACCAAACGGAGTGAAGGCGTCGACATGCTAGCCAGCAACAAACCTGTCGGGCCAGTGGACGTGACGACCAGATCGTGTGCGGCGAACCGGAGGGGGGCTGTCGCCAGTAGGTGGAGGTAGCACTGTTTGCGGCGGGGTACAGTGTTGGGGTGAGGAATAGTCACTGTTGTCGATGAACGCCGGCTTGACGCGATCAATGCTGACTGTGTCGGTCTTGCCGTTGCGGTCGATGACAACATCTTTGTCAGATCGACGAAGGACTTTATACGGCCCGTCATAGGGTGGTTGGAGTGGTCGTCGGACAGCGTCATGCCGAACCAAGACGAAATTGCACTTATCTAGGTCGGGAGGGATGAAGGAATTGGCCGGTGACGCCCGAGGGGGCGTTGCGCGGAGATTGCGCATGACACTACGCAGCTGCTCCACATAACTGCAAGGTTCAAAAAACGTTAGCATGTTTGAGGGAGACACTAACTCACCGGGCAGTCGGAGGGAGGTTCCGTAGACAAGATCAGCTGCAGTGCAACCAATGTCGGCCTTGAGAGTGGAACGGAGGGATAACAGCACCAGGGGAAGGTGATCCGACCATCGGGAAGGATTTGGCTGGGCCATAAGGGAAGTTTTGAGCTGTCGATGGAAGCGTTCGACGAGACCATTTGCTTGAGGGTGGTACGCTGTTGTTCGGATTCGGTTGGTACCGAGAAGGGATGTGAGTTCGCGAAACAGCGTGGACTCGAATTGGGATCCGCGGTCAGTGGTGACAGTCGCAGGAACTCCAAAATTGGACACCCAATGAGTCAAGAAAGCTCTTGCTACGGTTTCGGCACTGATGTCCGGAATGGGCGCAGCAACCGGCCACCGAGTAAAGCGATCAATACATGTCAGCATATAGGTAGAACCGTTAGATGGTGGCAGCGGATCTACCAGGTCAATATGCACATGACTGAAGCGTGCATCAGGAGTGGCGAAAGTTCCTGGCGGAGTAATGGTATGCCGATGCGTTTTGGCTCGTTGACATGGTAGACAGGAGCGGGTCCAACGCCGTACATCCCGGTTGATGTTGGGCCAGACGAATCGGTCAGTGATGAGTTTCACTGTCGCCCGGACTCCAGGGTGGGATAGATTGTGAAGAGCGTTGAACACTCGTCGTCGTAAAGTTGCTGGAACAAAAGGACGTTCGTGTCCGGTAGAAAGGTCACACGTGATGTTGCCTGTGCCAGTGGGAAGGGGGACATCTTGAAGGCGTAAAGAAGAGTTCTCGTGGCGGTATTGGGGAAGTTCGCCATCCGATCGTTGAGCCTCAGCCATGAGCGTGAAGTCTATGGCGTCTGTTGTGATGGAAGCCATCTCGATTCTTGAAAGAGCATCAGCAACCACATTTTCCTTACCGTGGACATGTTTGATGTCGCAGGAAAACTGTGAGATGAAGTCTAGATGACGAATTTCACGGGGCGAGTATCGATCGGGAGAGGCCCTCAGTGAGAAAACGAGTGGCTTGTGATCTGTGAGAACAACAAATTCACGACCCTCTAGGAAATGGCGGAAGTGCCGGATGGATAGATAAACGGCAAGGAGTTCTCGGCCGAAGACACTGTAGCGGGTCTCCGCTGGGCTGAGCTTCTTCGAGAAGAAAGCCAAAGGCTGTAGAGCACCACTCCATATCAGAAGGTTGCGTGTTCGAATCACGTCGGGGTCACCAATTTGTGGCGGACAAGGATGTGAGATCAACTTAAACCACGCACAATAAGTTCGTTTTGTCTACTGTCAGAAGTCAGGGAGCTGTGAGGACTAGTTTATTCTGTACACAGGGCAGGTTGCCGTAAGTTGGCGGTTTGCTTGCAACAGTGAAAAGCGTCCGTTCACGGAGAGCGTCAGTCGCGGTGTGTAGTTTTTGCGGGAGTGAAAGTCTGTGTCAGTAGGTGGGAGTGACGGGTTGGATGCTGATCATGAGATTGGACGGATTAGGGGGAAGCATAATTACAGGGGCTCACGGGTATCAAGCCAGGTCGTCCGACGCGCATGAGGTGATAATAGTTTGTGGGGGCAGCCGGGGGTCACTGCAGCTGGATAGGAGGGGGGTCCAGTTATAATCGGCGGGGGTGGTTGTGTGTCAGCGGCCTGACAACGATTGTCGCGGCCATCGACCGACAAAACGGAGCCGGAGAAAAGGAGAACTGGAACGGCTGCTACATATTCATCCTCCTCCATCGTAAATTGAATGTCCGGGAAGACTGCGTTGAGATGTTCTTTGCGCAGTGCGCATATGGTCCCACGGCAGCCACGTGCTATAAATACTGCACCCCTTGTGCGGCGACTGTCTCGGATGATGGGTTCGAGTGGGAATCCGAAACGTCAGGCTAATAAATTTCTTGTCCCAGTGATCACATCTTCGTTTTCTGAACAACCGTCCCGACACCACCAGTCGGGCGTTTATGGCGAATTCATGGAGGCTAGCCTGCCAGCGGGAGGTCGGATAACCCCGAGCACATATGATTCAGAAGTAATGGCGAGCGTCAGGAAAACGCCCAACTTGCGCCCCTTTCCGGTTCTGAAAAAGCCGCAGTCTCTTTTGCTAAGAGAAAATTTTACGAACAAAAGTACGGAGACGTTGCCGGCGAGGCGAGTTCCGAGGAGTGGTTTTGGATAACCGATCGCTGCAACCGAAACCGAGGCCGTCTGAGACGTGAACTACACAGAGGTCGTGGGCGGATGGAGATGAGGGTTGCAGTACAGCAATAAGTTTCTACGCAAACACTGAATAGGCGGATGCGGCATTCAGGGCAGGTATTCGGGCCTGGCACGCAAATGGCCGCGACATCACCATCGACGTTGACGATTGGCACTAATGGTCCACGGCCTGCTTAACTAGCAATGTGCCATTGTAAGTGGTGTCTGCCTACGCACGCTATGCACACCTTGACGGTGAATAGCCAGATGACGAAATCGGGCAGGAGGACCACGGAACTAAACTCGTGATCCGCACAGATGTCAGCTCTCGTGGCGATTTCGACCCCGTACGCAGGGATCTTATGAGAAGAGACAGAGCAGACGGGGACGACCGTTCAGGGTTCGTCATCCAAACGAACCCCGGGCCGGGACCTGCACCCCGGCCGGACTGGTCGTTAAGTCCAAGCTCCACCTGACGAGTTTCGGATTCCTGGCCCGAGTTAATTCCGAGATCTCCCCTGCCGGGGACCACGCTGTCAGTCCTGCCCGTCTCGGTAAGAATTTTCCAAAATACACGTGCGTCCTGAGCAAGATCGCACAAATCGTGCATTTAGATCATAGCGGGGTCAGTAATGGCTTGAGGCCTGGTCGGCCCTCGAGCAACCCCGAAGGCTGAGACGATGCCATCCAAGACAGCCCTATGGACACCTACTCCTTCAGAACCTTCACGGCGAAGAGGAAGGCTGCAGATGGCACCACAATCGGCCCGCGTGCAGTAGCCAAGACGGCGAATGGAGGACCAAATGGCTGTCACAGCAACAGCGCCTCCCACCACGACGGAATTAATAGAAATCACACCACATGAGCCAGTCCTCTTAAGGCTCTGGCCAAGTGCTGTGACCGGGGGGAAAGTTGCACGTCCCGAATTATCCCGCCACAGAGGCATGCATAGCCGTCATCCGCGATGATTGTGCAAGCTGTCGACCAACTGTCGTAGGCCACAATTGTGTTGGTTTGAGGAGGACATTATCGGAGACAGACACACTCGCCAACCTGTCGTCTGCGTCTCGTCGTTTAAAAGCGTCGACCTGGGATAGTTGAGGGCTTCAAAAATGAGCACAACTGCGTACGGTAGCTAGCGAACTACCTCAGTTGGGTAGACCCCCCCCTAGACCATCACCACTTCGGCAAATGACGTCAGATTATGGGTACACGCTTCAGATGGGAGAAAAAGCGGCCGACAGCGGAGCCAGGGGCATGTTTCCAGACTACTCCTTTCATCCAATATTCCAAATTGCTACTTCAATATTCGGGTGCCCGCATTCGCGTGCACTTAGAGATCACGGACCACTACTGCTACTACTACCACTACTGCAACTACTGCTGCTACTACTACTACTACTACTACTGCTACTGCTACTACTACTACTACTACTACTACTACTACTACTACTACTACTACCACTACCACTACCACTACCACTACTACTGTGGCGGCCGCCACTATAAACATTACAACATAGTAGCCGTTATTGATATTACTGGCCCCCGTTCACCCCTGGGACTTTTGGCTTGCCAGAAAAGTGAAAAATGATAATATCCGCATCTGATGTCGAATGAAAACACACCCTTGTTCTACTTGGGAGATGACAAACAGCGAGACATATGTACATACACGCACGCTCAGGCGCACACACACACACACACTTGGCCAGACAGGCGTCAATATCGAGGTATAGACAGGCGGGTAGAGGAGTGTAGAGATGGCGAGAGGACGCGGTAAAAAGAAGAGCGGGCTGCACGAGGGACAGGGCAAGTGGGAGAGGACAGAAACGTTGGCAGGGTGGGGAGGGGGGGGGGAGCGGGAGGATAGACGAGAGGAGATGGCAGAAGCAGCTGTGAGCGGCGCGCAGCATCAGAGGTCGAGGTTACGCATTTGGAAGTCCTCAGCCGGGTAGAGTCGGGCTACAACCAGACGTCCGGCGAAGTAACGATTGTTGAGAGAAGCGCAGGCAGCTGCGGCCGCATCTTGCGAGTCAAAATGTACAAAGATGCGTACCGCGGTGTCATTGGCGTGCACTAGGACTCGCAGGACTGTGCCGAACTTGGAGCACTCCTCTGAGACCTCCTCCTCCAGCTCCGGATCCAGTTCGGAGGGATCGACCATGTTCTCGAGGAGAATCACGCTGCGGATGGAGGAGAAAAAGAGATTACAGAAGTGCGGATAGGGGGCGCCATTTGACCGAAATGGGGGCCAGGACCACAGACAGCGACGGAGCTTAGTTTCGGGGTGCACAAGACATTCCAGAAAACATACCTAGACACCTACCGTTGTCAGCATCGTTTTCACATCTGACAGTAAATTAGGCGATATAACGAGGCACACAGGCGTATGGAAATATGCCATTTTGTTCTGATGGACCCGAAAAACTGTGAAAGCTAAGTCTCAATACGAACAGGGCAATTTGCTCAGCGCTGTCGAGAATTGTCGGGATGCCTAATGCCGCCCCCCTTCTTCTGCACCGGGCTACTGTCCAATTTCCGGTAGTTGGCATAAGGGTTTTGAAAGGAGTTGTGAAAGCACTGCAGCGGTTACGTGGTGGGTGTATCCAGGGTACCATGTCTCGATTAGCAGATGACTGAAGACGCCAAAGGGAGTGAAGAACCTGTCTCAGGGGCATGTGCTGAATGCGTAGAGTCAGCTGTTTAAGAGTCTGTGTCCAGGCAGTGTGTTGCATCGGTCGAGACGTGAATGACTGTGGCCGTCCGACTGCACGCATGTGTATGTCTGAGTTGGCCAGTGCGTCCAGAATCGCTCGCTCGCTGGGACGGTGAATGACCTTGACGCGCAGTTGGGCACTGGACAAAGACGTCAGACCTTCAGCTGCGAGAGAACGTGCTGGATCGAACAAAGGGCTCTAAAATGACATCCGATGTCCGGGGGGACTATCCGGCCTTATGCATCTAGTCACGTCTTAATTGCAACAACTTTTAAAAACGACTGAGGTTATCCTGCGCCCGGTGCCTGGCGGTGCATACAACACTGCTGCCAATTCTTCAACAAACAATGCGCTATACAATCCTAGTTCAATAATCAAGCTAAGTGAACTACACAAACGGGGAGGTCTGAAAACACCCAGACATTCCCTCACCCTAGTATCTAGCATGTAATCTCGCCAATATCGCCGTCGTATGTTACAAATGGCCTTAGGAAACGAGTGTGCTAGCAAGATGGACCTACATGGGACGAGGGGCTGACTAAAAACGGGCTAGTCTCGGTAGCCGAACCGGCACCTCCCTGTGAAAAAAGACGAGGGGAGAGGAGGCGACTGCCGGGTCTGCCGAGCTAGTTTTACAATGTTTTTTTTCCCGAATCCCTGTGGGAATATTAAGAATGGGGGGCGCTCTTCAGATGTTGCTGGGCCTCGCCGACCAAGACGGGTAATGCAGGGTCTCTCGAAGTCGTGAACAGATAATACCTTCTGGCGAAGTAACGTCCGTCTGTACCCAGAAGCAAAGCCCCACAACTGTCGCAGCGCTTTTGGCCGTACCCTTGTGCTTGAGGACGATACGACCCCAGAGTGAAGCCGACACCGTGGAAATCACCACAGTAATCAAACTCAACCAGACGTCGCCGACGGGCGCTTTTAGTCCCCGAAGGAAACAAATGAGCTGTCGAG